AATTAGAAGCAAAGAAAACGTGCCTCTGATAAGCTAAGGGCCAAGGCCAAACGAAATCGACGACAAAGTGGAATTTACTCGTTCAAAATCTTTCTTCCGCTGTTTTTCCTCGATTTCTTAATACGTTTGTCGTCACTCGGAAATCCTGCATAATCCGCTTTTAAATACACAACATACATTCTTCGCGCATTTGCATTATGAAAATAAGCCACTTGCAGAGATTTGAAAAACCAACCCTCACGTGGTATAGTTAATTTAAGACGCTTGATTTTAAGATCTTCTTGTAACGTTACTCCGCCAAAACTACTCGACGCGATACGAAAACTCACGTACAGTAACTCGCAAAGTGATTCGAATATTTATATCGTAGAACGAACATCGTAGAACATTACAGTACGCAGTCGCTATAGTGATTAGCACGGTCAAATTTTAAACCAATCTGAAAATATACTTATTTTTTACTTTTACTTTTACTAAATACTTTTTTTTTTTTACCAAAAGTTGGAAGAACAGTACGAGTAGTTTTGCTCTAAACATACGACTAAAAGGTTCTCGTGAATGTTGAAATACTTTGGCAAGCCATGGTATGTTTTGTAATTTTTCGGAATACGTTTATACAGGTTGAATTTTGATATCGTTGGAAGAAGTTTATCGCAGTGAAAATTCTTGCCTGATAATAATGCGATTTAAGAGTGAGAAACTTAGCCACTCTGCTTATTCTTTCCCGAGGGTAGCCTCTTTTTTTGTTAGATCGTTGTAGACCCCATCAAGGGGCTAGAAATTGCCTCGAGACCCACCGAGGGAATTTTTGTAGAAATTGGATAAAATCGTTTCTCGCGACGTCTTGGACCCTTTCGTTTCCATTGTAATCTGACTTGATTTTTACAAACCTTTTTTTATCTGCATACAACCGCGTAAAAAGCAATCTTCAGGCTTTTATTATATCGTATTTCGTGAAATTCCATTTTCAATTAATCCTCTTCTCGCAACCTATCGCTTTACGTTTGTCAAGATAAAAAAGCTGAAACGTCATGTACGAATATTCCGGCTACTTCCAAACATTATCATTGACTGTAATTGGTGTTGCCGGATCGTCGATTATTCACAATGGTTCCACTTAAATTACCCAATGTTTGCGTAATTTGCTTTAACACGTGGCCTGTATTTTACAAAATACTCGAACGCTTATTAGACTTTGAACGATACGATTTTTCTAGGGACTGAATTTGGAGCAATGGATAATTAACGAAAGAAGGATAAAATATTTAATAAAAACAATGGCAAGCTGTTATAAAAACAATAATACGGGAAATACGTGACTAATTAACTACTAACAGATAATTATTTATTTTCATTTAGCATATGCTCTGAAAAAATTATGTTCGGATAATCATCGGTAATGTTTACCGCGTATGATATAAAACGTAAATTAAACTTGAGAGTAACCAAACTCGAAGCTGATCTAAATGATCGTCTAATGATACCGGTTGAAAATTAAATTTATTAAATATAAATAATTACGTTTATATAATTACTCGTTGTATTAGAAATTATTCATAAAAGAACACAGAGGAGAATGAACAATCTGCTTGTGCGTTTTATAGAAAGAAAACCTGAATAATTTTTTCGCCACTCCCGCATCGAACAGTGCGCAATTTTTCCACCTCTAAACACGTCGACAGCTCGTCCGAAACGAAACCCACTAAGTATGCAAATATTGTATCCATACCGTGGCCACTGATAACCATAAGATGGATGGGAGCTTACATAAATCAATAAAACAAGTAAATAAGAAAGGACAAAAGCCAAAGCGAAGAACAGAAACGCGAACAGTTGGTAAAAGCTTCGAACTGAGCTTTTCTATTCTCCCTTTTCTTGATGTGTCTCTCCACGTGGCTCGATAAAGTCAAGCCGTGCACGCGTGCGGTTTGTTTCCAATTCTTCGACGACAATGCGCGTTTCTCTTTTATTGATTTTCATTTCCCCTTGCCGACCTTTCGTCAAACTGCGAAACAATCGGTCTGTTTTCCACGAGAACGCGTAACCTGCTTCGTTATCGCGGATGACGAACGTCCTTGCCACTGTCAGATATCTGCTCTATACGCACCTTCGTTTAATTCATGTAATCAACAGAACTGTCTCGTTCCTCGTCGACCGACTCGCTTAATTGTTGCAAATTATCACGAATTCGCCAAGCGTAAGGAACTCACACCCCTCGATCGCGAATCGTACGATCTAATTAATTTCTATCGCCCCACTGCACACCCTCCTATTTGAAATCGTGTCTCAAACAAGTCAGCGTTGTATTACGCTCGTAAATCATTTCGATGATATTCGTTTCGACCGATTATTTAGGCGTGTAGATGATTTATTTTGATGAGAACTAGAGAAGGCATTAATTTTCACCATTTGACATTTTTTCTTCTTCTTCTTTTTTTTTTTTTTTTTTTGACAGTGCGAATTTATTAGTGCAATTGTTTGTAACGTAATTATTCATACAGATACAGATACTGGTAAAACAGAATTTTGAGAAAGATAATAAGCCGATGAGGTAACAATAACGTTTTGATTTTAAAGGACTTCTGAGAATCGATGCAAGCAGTTAATTCATTAAACGCGTTAAACGGTCACGAGATATAAATCCAACCGCGCCACCCTCTTGTATCTTAAATTATTCCACAACCAATGGTACAATTTTCATTCTATAATGCAATAAAACCTCGAGAAAGATTGTAAAGATTCCAAAGAATCGTTCTAAAGGGAAAGATTTTTAATTTATAAATTCATAGTGATTTTTATCGCTAAGAAGAATTTATTGCTCTTTCTAGAGTTATCTGATTCTGTAAAATGTTGAAGAAAAAAGAAACCATCTGAACTTTCTCCCGCCTTGCTTCCTGATATAAAAGTATCTCGAAGGGAAAAATTAACTTATACAAGAAAAGATAAAGTTCATTGTTCACGAGTGTTAATTATTACAATAATTTATTATTGTTTATTAATAATAATTTACAAGAAAAAATTGAAAAATCGATCATTTTTCTGCTGAAATTCCCTGATCCTCGGTTTCAATGCCAAGCCGTATTTTACACTCGTTCGTCCATGTATACGCCGGAAAAATCCGCTTCCACTTAATAGGTAGATATACAAATTAGTTGGAATTCCGATGATTCTTCACGCGCTCGTGGCTTCACTTACGTTCCCGCGGCCGTCTTCCACGTGCAACATTTACGCTGTGCAAACGTTTAACGTAGAATAGAAAAAGTAATGATATAGATTCACGGGTGAAGGCCAAAGGAAAACGGCACGTGAATGACAATCGTGCGTTATCAGCAGCATGGCGCAAATAGTCGTATTAGCGTTAGGAAACGGTGCGTCAGCACCACCAAGTTCAAGGACGACTCTCCACGTGATCACGTATCTTGCCTCTTGAATTATTCAGGGGAACGAAAATTTTACGGGAAACAAATTCGTAAACACAAGTTCCACGCACCTGATTCTATAGACGTTTAGGAACGATCTTTCGCCAATTTTCTTGTACGTTTCAAAGTCAGACGTAAAATTTATAACGTCGTTGTATCATTTGCGTACAAATTATTTAGAATGATCATGAAAATCCAACTAATTTGTTCGTGAGAATGCAATCCTTCGTTTGGTTCGTGTGATCCTTTGGCAGTTGCGTTAAGATTGACAACGATATGCAGAGTTAAAACGTCAGGACAAATTGTTAGAGGTTTAATATTTCACAATTTCAAAACGAGTTACTTAGTCGATGCAACGTAGTTTGTAGATTATGATAACGAAACGCGGACTGCGCGGCGCCTTATGCTTGAAATCGAACTGCGAAGCAAAGTAATCTTATTTATTGTTTACTTCAAGGGCATTGTCAGTGGAAAATCGACGCATGCGGAATTCTTCCGAGAAATTAAAAATCGTATCACCTGTACCATTAGAAAGGGACGCGTTAATTCATTAATTTCATCAATTATACGACATTGTACAACGATTTTGAATCGGTCACAAGATAAAAATTTCAACAAAAATAGGATGGATCGCGTTAAATTATGTTTATGCGTTATTTATATAACTTATCGATTCTAATTCTATCGGCTTCTAATCATTCAGCAATGGCAGCAAAGATTACAAGAAAAATCGCAATGGACAAAGAATCGAACATTGATACATCGATACATTGAGTCATATTACGTTTACGCAAAAATAATAGCGCCTATATATATATATATATATGGAGCAAGCATTACTCAGCGATTGATATCATCCTTTCCGTGAAATCGTACACGCAGCCGTATATCTAAGACGATTGAAAGAAAATCGAGATGAAAAACCGGCGCGGCGCCTAGATGTGTATCGCGTTTAATCTGACAGAAAAGCCGGCGATAACGATAAGGTGATTCCATAGTGTTGGACTTAAGATCGATACTACGATCGGTTTCTCCGTGTCGAGAAAAAAGGAAAATATTAGAAAGGACGTAGAATGAAGAACGATAAGATCGATATAAAGAAACGTGACTTTTTGAACCTACTACTTGTGTAGTTTCATCGTTGAACAATATTTCAACGGTGTCAAGAAAAATAATTGAACGAATCGATTTTAATGAATTAATCTTGTTTGCGTCGTTTTTAATTACTGCGGATTCCACTATTCTAATATGATGTATATATACATACATGCTTCGAACGAAACACGACATAACTGTAAAATACAAATGCAACGATGTATGAACTAATAGAAAATTTGTGGGAAAATTACTAGAACTCTTCTAGTTACCGAGCTATCGAAAATTATTTTCCAAGATAATGTTTAATACTTGATGAAAAGAAATATAACATTTTATTTGGAATTTCACGAACAAGAGATACAAATATAATTACATGTATGACGTGAAAATAAATTTTCTGTGATATAAAAATGATTCGTTAAAATCAGTCGTATGACTACGTCTGTAGAATTACGAAGTTATATTACACTCGACAAAAAAGCTAATCGTAAAATTCCCGATAAGTTTTATTCCATTAGTAAACAATGCTTGCGCGTTTCTAAATTTCAAAATCGCTTATGCGTGATACGCTAAACAGAAAAATGCCGAACCATTGATAAAAGTTTAACGAGTTTTATTGATAAAGAGCTAACGAAAGTATCGAATAGTACAAACAACGAGAAGGATTCAAACGTAGTAACGTGGCTGGTAAATTGTGAACTTGTTTAAAACGCGTGGACTAGTCGAGAGAATCGTCAACGTTTCGTCCTCTGTCCCGTCGTCGTGCAACGGATCAACGCGAAATTTTTCAAGTTCCATCGCCAAGGTCGTGAATATTTTCTAGCCAATTGGAAACTCTGTCGTATTTCCATCGCGATGTTTCGCTTACGACACACAGACCAAGCTACTCCGGTCACATGTTAGTCGTGCACGTGAATCTTATTGAACACTCAACTTGTCGGCGATGTGTATACACGGACGTATTATTCACGTAACGCGAGTACCAAAGTTCTTGGTAACGTAAGGTCAATCGTTTCTGGTGGCAAACACACAAGCCGTGTAACGCAAGCCTATTCAAATGCAACGAAACAGACTACCTTGGCAGTGAGAAAATGCATTATGCAAGCTGGCGCGTAGCAAAGAAGCGTCGTTCGATTGGCCTATAATGACATGCAATTAAAGTACGTTGTTAACGTCGTCCACGGTAAGGGTATGGCTTTGCATTCTAACATTCCACGTTCGATTGTCCTACGTTCATGGAAATGATGTTATTTTAAGGTTCAACCTGAAGCCTCCTTCGGATTAGTTGAATTCTCCACACGATGAAAGTCGTCAATTAAAATGATGAAAGGAAACAGTCGACGACGATTCACAACTCTACGATCATATATTTTACAAGGATCAACGGAAACATTAAAAATATCAGAAACTTTCGTCTAGTAGAACTTGGTTCAGATTAGATGAATTATATTGCTGAAAATAATTGAAGGATTAATAATATGAATGCTTGTTGCCTAGTAGATCAGTTGAAAAAACGAAAGTGACGAAGAATGACGCCAGATGGGACGTTAACCTTTTAATTAAAAAAACAGAAAAAATGAGCAAGTCCTATGGGCTTGGCATGTTACACAGATTGACATGTTACACGATAAAAATCTCAAGCTTAACTGGAATAGGACGTTACATTACAGCGTCTCATTTAATTACTTCCGTTTAAAGTTATGTGGCCAAACTTTTCGTGTTATTACGAAACTTGATTGACAATGGTTCACTGAAGATCTTGTAACAGTTTCTCCGTTAAATTCGATTTCATTCGAAGTCGAATAACAAATTGTTAAATAAAATCCGTTTGAAACGTGTACGTTTTTACCAAGTTTTCTGAATTTATCGCTTGTTAATACAGAACAAATAGTATATAGATATAGCTAAAAGACTTTTAGATTTATGATACCGATAGAATATTCATAACACAATCTGGATGGTGAGGGAAAAATGTTTGCATGATATGGCTCGATTATGGAAATAATCACTATGAGAAACTGCCGGTAAATTTCCATCTGATAATTAACAGCTTTAAAAACCTTTATGTTATGAACTACAAACAAATATATAACGCTAAGAAAATACTAACAGCGCAGTATTTATCACAAAATTCTTGAATAAATCGTTAACAATTTACGAAACTGAACTCTTTGTTAATACCCTGTCTAACATTTCCCCGTAATTTATACGTATATTATAACCACTTCTATCAACTACAACAACGTCGAAAACAAGCACGAAAGATTGTGAAATGATCGTATTATAAAATAAAACGAAGGTTAATGACAAAGCATACATAGAACGACAATCAAACTAACGATAGGGCGATGGAAAAATAAGTATTTTTATAGAGGAATATTCATGGAATTGGTTATCAGGAGGAGACGGCAATATGGTGGCATCGACCGTGCGATATGATAAGAGACGGGCATTGTCTTCTCTTTAACCCTGAACTCGAGTACAGCAATGGAGAAGTAAGAATGCGAGTAACGAACGACGGCAAATTACATTCTCACGCGTTCGCAACGCACATAACGATCCCAGGATATCCTGTCATCGAGCCTGACCCTCTTCGATTTTCAGTAGACACAGACGCGAAAGTAGGTCGAGGGGATTGCCATGGGCACACCCTATAGGACGAAGCTCATGAATGGTGTACTCACTGTCGCTTTTCAACGGATAACGACCCATATAAATAGAGGAAAGTTTCGTTGTCACAAAGGAACAAGTCCCCCCTTATTGACCCACAAGATCGCGTTTTTTTGATACTTCGCTCGATATAATTGGATTACTCCGTGGCATGAAAGTGAATCATGCTTGGACAAACTTGGGAAATATCGGTGGAACTTTTCTACCTATGGCTCTTAATCATTTCGATACATTTTGGCTTAAACTTTTGTATCTATGTTTCCCTCTTAATAATTCTTGCAACATTTAAATACCTAGACAAATTATCAATATTTAAATCCACGTATATTTTATGAAAGTGTCGTTGTAATCGAAACACTTTTCTCAATGTTGATATACATTTAACTGTTTCCAATTCAGCTGAATAATCCATAGATAGGAATAAACGAATCTTAAAAAATTCGCAATTGCAATTCCATTCTTTCTAGCATACTCCATCGTGTTTAAAATCTTTCACATCTGCGCATGAAATATCTCGAAACGCAATCTTAGTCGTAGATTCTTATTTCCAAATTTTTCTTGCAAGAGGCTGTTCCAAATTCCAGATCAATCAACGTGCCAATAATGATCGATTGTTCCTTTAATCAAGCTTCCACTCGTACGTATCGATTGACATACCAAAAGGTTTACGAAACGATCAGAAACATGCGTTTACGATCTTGTCCTTGCCACGACGTCGGGAAAGGCGTTTTCCATCGAGAGGATGAAAGTTAACCGTAGGAAACGTAATCAGCAGATGACGATACGTGGTAGTCTACGACAAACATCAAACTAGAAGTTAGTCGAAGGTCGAAAAATTCG